CCCCTCCCCAGGCATCCCACACCCTTCCCCCGGCCAGCTTGAGGTATTCTGACATTTCACACCAGTACTCCMAGTGTTTCTTTCCACCCTCCTCACTGGAACAACCCTGCCCCATTCCAGTTGGGCTCCCCAGCCCATCTGGTCCTTGTTCTTCCATCCCTTGTTCCCCAGGTGAGGTTTGGGAAGCCTCCAGCCCTGCTGCCAGCTCCGGTGGGAAGTTCCCTAAGGATCAGGTTCCTATTAGATGGGATTGGAGCAGGGCTGAGCCCTGATTGCCCTGTTATTTCAGCTCTGAGCTCTTTCATCCCATGGAACATCCCATGGGTGTCCTGGGGAGTCACTCTGAGGGGGAACAATCTCACCTTTTCCCTGTGCTCTGCAGGTGCTCCGTGACTCCCTGGATACCAGGTGTAAATGCCACGGAGTTTCAGGCTCCTGCTCAGTGAGGACCTGCTGGAAGGGGCTGCCAGACCTGGGGGAAATTGCCTCTGACCTCAAATCCAGGTACCTGGCAGCCCTCAGGGTGACCCACCGGCTCGTGGGGCCCAGGAAGCAGCTGATCCCCAAGGAAGGGGATGCCAGGCCTGTGACAGAGATGGATCTGGTTTATCTCATCAACTCTCCCGACTATTGCACCCCAAACCCCCAGCTGGGCTCTCTGGGGACACAGGACAGGTAAGAAGAGCTCAGCCTTTGATTCCAGGAGTGCCTGTACTGCTGGTTTGAGTGTCCCAGGGAACTGGTGTGCATGGGCTGGGGTGAGCTTACAGCAGAGCCCTGAATCCTCAAATCCCTGAATCCCCAAATCCCTGAATCCCAGAATCCCTGCCTTGTGAGACCCTACCTGCAGTGCTGGGTCTGGGTTTGAGGCCCCCAACACAAGGCAGACATGGACTTGTTGGGACAAATCCAGAGGAGGACGTGGAGCTGCTCCGAGGGGAGCCACTCTGCCCCTCTCTGATAGAGAGAGTTGGGGGTGCTCACCTGGAGAAGAGAAGGCTCCAGGGAGACTCCAGAGCCCCTTCCCGTACCTAAAGGGGCTCCAAGAGAGCTGAAGAGGGACTGGGGACAAGGGATGGAGGGACAGGACAAGGGGGAATGGCATTAAAGGGAGAGAGGTTGATTTAGATGGGATATTGGGAAGGAATTCTTCCCTGTGAGGGTGGGGAGGCCCTGGCACAGGGTGCCCAGAGAAGCTGTGGCTGCTCCTGGATCCCTGGGAGTGCCCAAGGCCAGGCTGGACAGGGTTTGGAGAACCCTGGGATAGGAGAAAATGTCCCTGCTCATGGCAGGAAGTGGCACTGGATGATCTTTAGGGTCCCTTCCAACCCAACCCTTCCACGATTCCATGATCCTGCTGCCTCCTGCTCTGGGCACACCAGCTCTGGGAGAGCCCAGGGTCCCCAGGTTGCCACCTCTGTCCCCAGGCCGTGCAACAGGAACTCCGTGGGCAGTGACAGCTGTGACCTGCTGTGCTGTGGCCGTGGCTACAACACCTACACGGAGGAGGTGCAGGAGCGCTGCCACTGCCGCTACCGCTGGTGCTGCTCCGTGGTGTGCAGGCGCTGCCGGCGCAGCCTGGACAGACACGTCTGCAAATGAGGAGCAGAGTTTGTCCAGGCATGGCTGGACAGCGGGAGCCCATCCCAAGGGATGCTCCCAGCAAGGAGGAGGCTGTGCAGGAAGCCTGGCCTCGCATGGAAAACTCAAACTGAGGGATTTGGGGAATCCAGTCCCTTCCAGCCCAGAGCTCTGGTCAGTGGTCAGCCCTCTGCCTCCAGCTGGGAAAAGCCACTGATCATTGCACAAGTTCCTTTCTCCAGGGGAATGGGGACCCTGGGCTGCCATTGTGCCTTTGCAGGAGGATTCTGACAGCAGGAGTGATGGATGGGAGGGGGTAGAGTTATCCACAGGGAGAAGGTTGCAGGGATGGAAAGCTGCTACGGGTGAGGGGGTCATGGGCAGCTCCTTTGGGAATGGGATTCTGCTGGGTGTTCCTCCTCAGGGGAAAACCCTGCTCCAGTGGCATTTGCAGCATCCCAAGGGAGATGCATGGAGATGGTGCTGATGAGGGCAGAGACACCAGGGACAGGAGAGGGCCTGGGGGCTGCCAAAACTGGGCAAAAACACACCTCAGCCATGGCATCACTGTAGCTTCTGTCCTCGTTTTGGAGGTGGGAGCCCACTCAACACATGGAATCTTCATGGTTTGTCCTTCCTGCCCCTTCTTTTGGCCCACTGACACCTTCAGCCCATTCCTTCCACCCCTCGGGACCAGGTGTGTTGGAATTCTGGCCTGGAGAGGGGGACACAATTACAGGGCCTTGGGGAAGCAAGAAAGAACCTTTAGTCTCTGTAGTCCCTGTATTCTGGTGTGTGTGTTTAAAATAAACATGTTATAACTCCCTGTGCCTTGTTTTCTACGACAATCTTTTCTTCATCTCCCTCCCAGCTGCTCCTGAAGAAGGAGAGGCTGAAAGGAAAGCCCGGACCCCATAAAGCCCACCACTTTTCCTTACATGTAGCTGAGCACCAGCTCGCTTTTAACTCTTTCTGCTTCTCACAGGCTCAGATTTGCCTTAAATTACAGACCCCTGCAAGCCTCAGCTCCAGTTTTATCCCCTGCTTCCTCAGGTCTCCAGCTGCCTGGGAACTGGCTGCCTGGGATTCAGGGCTGGTGCTGGAAAGTGCAGCAGTCCAGAGTTATTTTCTGATCCTTGGGAATGTGGGCTGGGCTAGCCAAGGTTGTGTGTGAACAGCAAGGGGTTGGGAGCCAGGGATGAGGGCTCCCACATTTCCCTTAGAGCAGAATCTGTCCAAATCCTTGGATGGGATGAGATTCCTGCTTGTGCAGCCTCTGGAGAGAAAGGGTGAGTCCAAAGGTGCTGGAGAGACTCCAGGAGGACAGGTAAATGGGATGGGAATCCTCCAGGGTGGATTCCTGCCTGGAGGCTCCAGCAGCTCCGCTTTATTTTTGGTTCCCATTGATTGGAGTTGGCCGCGCTCAGCCCGAGCCCAGCTGGACGATTACTCATCTCCACATCCATTCCATCATTTTTAACGGTCTCTGCTGGCTCACGGAATCAATTCACGAGCTTTCCTTGTAAAACATCCCCTCCCCTTAATGTGCTCCAGGTTTCTGTGCGAGCAGGGAAGGATTGGGGGGTGACTCGAGAGGATCCCGAGTTCGGGGAGCGCCAGGAGTGAGTTACCCCTGGTTATCAGCTGTTAATGTGCCATTGACAGACTCTGCCTGCTGCCACCTCCCTTCCCGGAGCGCCTGGAAAACCGCGGCTGCCCAAGGACAAAAGTTGTCTCGAGTTTTCCTTTTAAAATGCAATTAGGGGTCAGTGCCCGGCATTCCTCAGAAAAAGGAGTTTCAGCTGCAAAACAGCCACAGTTTCTGTGTCCGGAGGGATGCAGGTATTTAATTAGCATTGCTTCAATGCCTTTTCTCCATCCCAGATCACAGGGAGGTGACATCGGGAGGGGCTGCGAACTCCGAGCATTGCAAAACGAGCTGGTGAGAGGGAAAAAAAAACCCCAAAAAACCAAAACGGGAAGGATCTTGTGGAGTGAGAACTCCAGCCAGGAGGGTGGGAAATGTGATTTGCATTTGGTAACTACAAACACACATCGCCTGGGGGAGAGGAGAGGAGCCACAATAGCAAGGAATGCCCAGGGGAGCTGTCGGAATCCCTCCTAGAGAGGTCCCGTTGGAATTTCTGCCTGGGAAAAGGCAGGGTCAAGTGCTGAATATGCAGAACCCACCCCTCCTCTCCCTCCTTGACTCCAAGCCCGACAGGGAAGAGCTGGGAAAAGGCTGGAGGGGTCACCCTGCAGCCGGGAAACGGGAAAGCGCTGGAATTAGCTGGAGAGTGCAAAGGGTCAGGCTGGCAGGGGGTGACAGCTCGGTGACAACGCTCTCGGTGGGAGCTGCGGGAATCCGGACCCACACCTGGAATTAGCGGGGATGTGAGACCTGCAGGGCTGGCAGCATCTCCCAGGAACAGGGGGCCAGGGGATGCAGCGGGAATTTTTAAAGGGATTTAGGTTTTAAGGGAGTAATGTCAGCGTGAACGCGATTATTTGTTGCTGGTCAAACTTGTGCAGCAAAGTCAGTTATTTTCATGGATTCTTTTGATTTTGCTGTTAAAACACTGACTTATTTATTTTTATTTCCTTATTCATTGCGGGACTCTGCGTAACTCATTCCAGGAGAACAATCTGAGCAAGGGCAACAACCTGTGGGTAATTAACTATTGATATTTTGGGATATTTCTTCTGCACAGCCCAGGATTGCAGCTCCCACTGGAATGTGGGTCAGGACCTGCACCTGGTTTTTTCTTTGTGCTGCTCACAGGGCTGAGCCAGAAGGAGGAGAAAAGCCATTCTGGGGCTCAGCTGTGGATCAACATCTCACAGAATCGGGAAATCCTGGAATTATTTGGGTTGGAGGGACCTTAAATCTCATCCAGTTCCACCCCCTGGTACGGGTAGGGAACCTCCCATGAGCCCAGGTTGCTCCAAGCCCCGTCCATATTGCGCTTCTGGGAATATTTGGGGGATGTTGCTGTGACCTTTGGGATGGTTGGTCCGTGCCCCATCACACCACGCGACACACACATGAGTAAGGGCCGGTATTTAAGGAAAAACCCTTCCCTCTCTGTTCTCCTTTATTCCCGGGGTGTTCAGCAGCATCGTGGTGCTCTGAGGATGACAAACAAAGACAGGGATTGTCCGTGTGGGGATCTTCAGCCGAGGGACAGGGACAAACAGGGTGAGTAAGAGCCATAAGACCTCAGGGGGAACCAGTGGCAGCCTGAGGGATTTTGGGTGTCACTGGAAGGTCAGGTCTGGCAGGGGTTGTGGGGGGTTCAGAGGGGGAGCAGCTCTCCATCCCTTGGGATCATGGAATCCTGGGATGGTTTGGGGACTTTAAAGCCCATCTTGTTCCGTTCCCTGCCATGGGCAGGGTCACCTTCCCCTATCCCAGGGTGCTCTAAGCCCTGTCCAACCTGGCCTTGGACACTCCCAGGGATGGGGCAGCCACAGCTTCTCTGGGAATTCCATTCCAGAGCCTCCCCAGCCTCACATGGAAGGATTTACCTTCTCCCAGGCTGGGCACACATTCCAGAGGGGAGGGAGCCTCCAGACTCTCTCCTCCACAGGGCAGACACTGAGGTGGCCCTGAACACTCTGGAGTTCATCCCATCAGCCCAGACTTGGAGCCAGACAGGTTCTGAGCACCCACAGCACTCCTGGGGCTCCGTGAATAATGATTTATTGCACAATCTGGCACAGGCATGAAGGAAACAAACAGAATAAATTGTAAACTGAGTCATCTTCAAAGGCTGAATTACTCAGGAGTAATGATCAGTAGTAGAGTTACTACATCCATACTTTGCTGACAGCCAGGTCACTCACCTGTGTTTCTAAGGGAAATAACCTGTTCCTAAAAGCATAGATTTAACCCTAACCTGCCTGAGGCTGGTTGAATTTTAGATATTCTAGGAGTGACATGAATTAAAAAGAAAGGAGAAAGATGCATGTCCCATCTGTACTGTAGAAAGAATAGAGAAGAGAATGGGAAGGTGCTGTGCTGAAACAAATAAATTGATGTTTATTGACATCCAGAACTTCACTGTCAAGGATCCCCACTGTGTACCCCTTTTATGCAGGGAGGAAATGGATGTTGTCTTCCAATTTATCCAATTATCCTCATTTTTCCCCAGTTCCCCAGACTCCATCACAGCGCTCCCTGCCAGGACCTGTGCAGGCCGGTGCGCCAGGCAGGACCTGGCAGGGAAAAGTGTGGGCGCACTGGGGGTCTGTGAGTGCCCCCGGCCCCGCCGAGCCGCGCTTGCCCGCTGTGCCCACCCGCCGCGGGGTTCCGGGGACTCCACGGCCGCGGGGCTATCACGGCACCCACCGGGGCCATCACAGCACCCACCGGGGCCGCTGCCCCTCAGCCTGCCCTCACCAACATGGCGGTGCCGGCGGTGCCGGTGCCCTCCCCGAGACGGCGCCCGTTGTTGCCATAGCAGCGACCTCCTCAAGATGGCACCCAGTGTCAGTTACGGTGACCTTCCCCAGATGGCGCCGCATGCTGTGGCTATGGCAATGACCTCCCCAAGATGGCGGTCGGGGCGGGTACGGTCGCTCCGGAACGCGCCGGAAGTGGCGGTGGAGCCGTTCCCGGCCCATGATGGCGGAGGCGGGCGCGGACGGCCCCCGGCTGGCGGAGCTGCTGGCGTTGGGACGGCGGCTCTGGGACGAGCTGGAGGCCAGCACCGAGCCGTCCTCCGGAGCCCCGGCCGTGCAGGAGAAGGTGCGGCAGGCGCTGGACGCGCTGCGGCGGGCGGCGGCCATGGTGGCGCAGCTGGAGCTGTTCAGGTGAGCGCTGGGGACTCGTCGGAGGGGGACAGGAAGGGTCCCCGGGCAGGGCAGAGGTGGAGCGAGAACGGGACAGAATCTCGGAATCACTGGGGTTGGAAAAGATCCCCAACACCATCGAGTCCAACTTGTGACTGATCCAACCCAGAGTACTGAGTGTCACGTCCAGGCATTCCTTGGACACCTCTAGGAATGGGCACTCCAAACCTCCCTGGGCATCCCCTTCCAATGCCTGATCACCCCTTCCGTGGAGAAAATCCTTCTGCTGTCCAACCTGAATCTCCCCTCGCTCTTGCCCTGTCCCTGTTCCCTGGGAGCAGAGCCCGACCCCTCGGCTGCCCTCTCCTGTCAGGGAATTGTGCAGAACCACAAGGTCCCCCCAGAGCCTAATTTTCTCCAGGCTGAGCCCCTCCAGCTCCCTCAGCCGCCCCTCACAAGATGACTCCAACCCCTTTCCCATCCCATTCCTTTTCCCGGACTCCCCGGTCTCTCCCTTACAGTGAGAATGAAGAACTGGAGGAAGTCGCCTCGGCCGATCTGAAATTTATGCTGCTGCCGGCACTGCTGGGTGCCCTGACGCTGAAACAGGTGGACCTGAGCAGGAGAATGGAGCACCTGGAGACCGCCCGGGAGCATTTCCTGCGCTTCCTCAAGCTCTGCAGGAACTACGGGCTGGGATCTTTCCAGCTGCCCCCCAGCACCTCCAGCGAGGAGGGAGCTGGGGCCCCCCCGACCCCCCGCGACCCTGCCCAGCCCAACCTGATGGCCATGGCCATGAGCAGGACAGCCAAAATTGAAAGGTGGGCTCTGTGTGCACTGGGAAGGGCTTTGGGAGTGAGTCTGGGAGGAGCAGGAGGCTCAGGCAGTGCAGGGTTGGACAGGGAAGAGCTTCCCTGGGCATTGGAATGGTTTGATTATAAAATGCTCATTTGAAGAGGTGCAGCCCATTATGTAGTGGGTTGGGCTGGGGTGGGGCATTTGTGTCTCCAGTTTTTGGTCTCTGAGAAAAAACTGCTCAAAAACTTATAATTAGCTCTTTAATAACCTTATCATTAGTTCTTTAATCATTGCTGACCGCATAAAAACTTCCAAACTGGAAGTTTCCTACTACTGGGCTCATTAGAGTTTGAAAAAGAGGTGCTTTGGTTGGGATTTTGGCCACTGAGTTACTCGTTGTAGCAGGACTAAAAGGCCCACATTAGGCTGGACCTGCTTAAATTGGATAGAAAACCAGAGAGCAAAATATGAATTATATTCTAATTGGGAAAGGTTTCTATTTTAGAGTTACTCTTTTATGCTCCTTGTCCTCTCAGCTCCCAAAAATTTCTTGGTTCTTATTGCTCATTGTTCAGGTGACAAAAACTGAGGGAAGGGGGAACACAAGGATTTCATTTGGAAGTGTTTTATAGGAGTAGCTTCCCCTTTAATAACTAATTCCTGAGAAAGTAAAAATAAATTTACCATGGAAGATTATTATATAGGGAGTTTTTCCCTTTAATAACTAATTCCTGAATAGGTCAAAAACTCCAAAAAGCCAAAATTATATTTAAAAAAACACCTGCACACCCAAAACCACCTGAGATAGAAGCTGGAAAAGTGTTTTATTCTGTTTGTGTGACATGGAATGAACTCAAACCAGTTGAGTTTCTCAGTCCTACTTTCTCCAGGAGCCTGATGTTTCCAGCCTTTCTTATTTTACCAGGAAGGCTTCATAATTTCCAAGAATTCCTCAATGTTTAGGAAAAGAATAAAATCGAATTTAATTTCATCTGACACCTGCTTTTAACAGACAGGAGAAGCTGAAATTCCAACAGGAACCAGCACAACCTGCATGAAATTGTGCTGAACCTCTTAGAAAGGGTGGTAAAGACAACCAGGGCTGGGCTGGGCTGGAGAAAAATAATTCCATGATCTGATTTTTGCTGTGTTTGAGCCAGATACAAACAGAAGAAGGAGCTGGAGAACAAATTGGCCTCCATGAGCAGCTCTGTGGAGAGCGGGACAGCAGATGAGGAGCAGATCCGGGAGTTTTACATCCTCCAGATCCAGAAATGGATCGGCACCAGCCTGGAGGAGATTGACAGCATCGACCAGGAGCTGGTGATCCTCAGGAGCAGGGATGCAGCCCGGCAGGTGAGGAGCTGTCCTGGGATCTGGGTGCTGTGGGATGGGCATGGGGGGGTGAATCCCAGAGGAATTCATTGGCAGAGTTGGGGTTTTATTCTGTGTTTTCCCGGTTAGAATTGAGCTTGGTCACAGCATGAGCTGATGGGGTTTGCTTCATTCTGAATTCTGAGTTTTGTGTGGGCTCTGCTGCCTCGCATTGCTAGCAATCCCAGCCTGTGGAATGCTGAAGTTTGGAATATCAGAGCTGAGCTGGGCTGTGCAAAAGCTTTTCCTGGGTTCTGCAGATCCCAAATTCTGCAGAACACTTGAATTTGGAAATTAGAGATGCCCCAGGATAGACAATCCAGGGGCATCCACTGATGCCCTAGTGGACATCCACTGATTTGACAGCTGAGATGTTGTTCCTCTACAAGATTTTGAATAACTTTGGAGTGGAAAAAAGAGGGGGAATCCTCATCCCCACAACTCCTTGGTGACTGTTGTTTGCATCCCCAGGCTTCAGCAGGAGCCCACGGCCCTTCCCGGCCAGCCAGAGCTCCAATGAAACCCTTCATCCTCACCCGGGATGCTGCTCAGGCCAGGTAGGGATTGGGATTATCCAACCACACTTAGGGGCAGGGCTCTCATGTCAGGCCTAAATATTCCATCAGGTGCAGAWATCCCGGTGGTGCCTTCGTGTCTGYACCTGAGTTTGTGGCACCCTGAAATCCTTGCAGGAATTTTACCACCTGGTGAAATTCTGAAGCACAAAATGGGATAGGAACCAGATTTCCTGTCATGCTTGGGACACGATTTGTACTGAGCTTTTCTTGCATCTGCTTCAGTTCCCAGGGGTGTCCTAGGGACACATTCCCTATCCCAGGTTGCTCCAAGGCCTGGCCTTGGACACTTCCAGGGATGGGGCAGCCACAGCTTCTCTGGGCAGCCTGTGCCAGTATTTTACCACTCTCCCAGGGAAGAATTCCTTCCCAATACCCCATCTAACTCTGCCCTCTGGCAGTGGGGAGCCATTCCCCGTCATTCCTGCCACTCCAGGCACTATCCCATCTTCCCCTCAGSCATGGGAAGATCATAACTGGGTCACCCCAAAACCTTCCTCGAGCCCTCCTTGTGTCATCCTTATATCCTTAGCACAGATTGAATCATGGAACAGCCCTGTGCGTTCTGCCTGTTTCCTGCTCATTCCAGGGGGTTTCATTGCCTGTTTTTGGCTGGTTTTGTCCCACTGCAGGGTTTTTGGAGCTGGCTATCCCGGGCTGCCCACCATGACTGTGGATGACTGGTACGAGCAGCGCCGGAGGCAGGGAGTTGTGTCCGCCCCACAAAGGGCTTCAGGTATGGAACAGAGATAGGAACAGGGGATTTGGGAAGCCTCTTGAGGGAGTGGGTGAACAGGAATGTGTGCAGGSTATGGAACAGGCCTGACTATGGAAGAATCCAAGCTTTATTAGGAAAACAGCTGGGTTTGTGCTTGGTGTGTCCAAGGCCAGGTTGGATGGGGCTTGGAATAACCTGRGATAATGGAAGGTGGCACTGGATGGGCTTTAAGATCCCTTCCAGCCCTGCCCATTCCATGATTCTCACTCCTGCTGTTTGGCAAGCCCAGCTCCCAGCAGGGCTTTGAAGAACTTGGATCTCCTCCCTGTCCCTCCCCTCCAGCAGGTGCAGTTGATGAGGAATTGCAGAAACAGCAGCAGGAGAAAAAGGAGGAGGAGGATGATGAGGAAGCTCTTCAGAGAGCTCGGAACTGGGATGACTGGAAGGACACACACCCCCGGGGCTACGGCAACAGGCACAACATGGGCTGAWGCTCTGGCTGCCAGCAGGAGATCCTGGGAGAACAACCTGGAGAGGGAGGAGGGAATACAATGTACATAGATGGAGCAGCCAGGAATTCCCTGGGAGCCTTGGATCGCAGGAGAACACGTGCCCCCTGGCTTTGGTTGGCATTCCATGTCAGACTGGGGGTGCTCATTGTTTTGGGGGTGCCCCAGAGCTCTGAGGGGCAGCTCCATGAGGGTCAAGCTCCCTCTGCCCTCCCAGGYGGAGGCAGCCTCCAAGGGGAGCTCCATGGATTTGGAAACTGCTCTTTGCCTTGTGGGTGGATGTATTTATTTTTTTTTTCCTCTCTATTTTAAGCAAAATAAACTCTCTTTGTGTTGCCTGGTTCTTGCTGTGAAATYCCCTTGCTATTCATCCCAGACTTTTCCAGAGGGTGAATCCCAGACCCTCTTGTAATATATTACACGTATTATGTATTATATATATTATATATATGGGAATATAATATATATGGGATTCCAAATACTGGGGTGGAAAAGCAAAGCACGGCTGGCACTTGGTGTCACCTCCATGGTGCTTCCTTATCCTGGGACAGTGGGACTCTGAAATGGTTTTGGGGTTTTCCTTCCCAATAGCAGGATTTGGGCACAGCTGGGCTGCAGGAGAGCTGTTTTCCATGCAGCAATCCCTGTCCTTGGAAATGGTCCACATCCAGGAAACCTGCAGGGAATGTGGTCCTTTCTCTCAGCTACTGAGTCCCTACAATTCACGAGAGGGGTTTGTGGGTTCCAAATCTCCCAGGAAACATTTCTTACTTTGCCACTACAATCCTGCAGGTGTGTTCACCCCGTTCCTACACGGGCAGTTCCTAGGAGCACCTCTGGAGAGCTGGATCCTGAGAAGTAGCTTCAGGGCTTTATTCCCTGTGGATTCTCACYGTTCCTTGGGCTGTTGGCCTGAAGCCATACCTCAGTGCTGACTCTGTGCTGCTCCTTTTGCCCTTTCTTGTCATTTTTTCCCCCAATCCTCTCCGGACAGTGGTCCAGGCTTCCTGGGCAAGAGGCAGAGTGCTCATCCCAGGGCTGGAAGAGGTGGGAATGCTGTGGTGGCTGTGGAGCTTTGGGATGACACTTTTGGGTGGCTCTGGGGCTGTCACATGGCAGTGTTTGGGACATACCCCCAGCATGGACGGTACCATTCCCAGGGGAATGCAGCAGGACCTTTTCCAGTGGAATTCAGCCCCTGCCAGCACCAGCAGTGGGGATTTTCCAAGGAGCAGCAACCGCCCGTCATGGCAGCAGCTCTTCACCCTCCCTGTGACCCTTCCAGGGACCACCAGCTCCTCTGTGTGCTCCTAATCCCAGCTGGAGCAGGTCCCCTCCCCTCGGCAGGGCCTCTGTCCCTCGCGTCACCTGGTTAAAGCCTCTGGATACACAACCCAACGCCCTCTGATTGCCAAATGCACTTTTCCACCCACCCACGGCACCACGGAGCTCCTGCCGCCATGAAAACCATCATTGCAGCCTACTCCAAAAATCTCAGTGGTAAGAGATTCCCAAAACGGGTGGGGATGGTTTCTGATTCTCCAGCAAGGTGAGGAGCTGGTGGTTGCTTGGGGGTGCTGAGGAGAAAGGGGGTGTTGGGARCGATTTGGGGATAACTYCCCAGGAAAACACACAGTYGCTCCACAGGGATGGGATTTSAGGYGACATCTGGGAATGYTACMCACAAGATGCTCCTACAAATTCCAWATGTTGCRTTTGTGTAGGCTCCTGTTGCTGTGGACAGGGCTGGCAGCAAAGCCCTGGGGTGTTCTCTGTTGTCTGTGGTCTGGACATTGATGGAGTTTGTGGAATGAGAGCTGGGAAAAGGATGTTAAAAAGCAACTGCTTGGTGGGCACAAGTTTGCTGGGAAGAGCTCTGTGTCTTCCCTGGGGAAAAGAAGGGAGTGTGTTCTGCAGGGGGCTGGGATTTAGGATGTGTGGGATAGGTGGAAGAGATCGCTCAGAGCCCAGCACGCTGCACGAGAGAAAGGGACAAAAATTCCCCACTGCAAAAGTSCCCCAGACTGGGGGCCAGAGATGGCTCCAGTGTTTATCTCACTTGTCCCATTCCGGGTTTGGATTGAGCTGGGAAGAACTGAACTGATTGAGCTTCCTGATCCAGGGGCTGGTAGTTCTTCTCTGACCCGAGGATCCCTGGCTTGGGGAGCCACCGGGACAGGGCTGCTCCTGTGTCCCCCTGATCATCTTTCTGGCCAGCATGCAGATTTTGGGGCTGTTTTCCCAAGAAAACAAGGCTCTTGTGACTCTGGGGTGGCTCTCTGGGGTGGTCTCKGCATGGGGGACCTTTGGCCAGGAGCGCTGCGCTGGCAGGCCCGGCACCTCGGGCCCGTTTCGGGGAGCAGGGATGGGGCCGTGCCTGGAGTTTGGATCCTGGCTCCCAGCCGGGGAGGTTAATGGTTCACCAAGGTCGGCTGGAGGGAAGGGGTGGCRGGGGGAGCGGAGTGGCTGCGCTGCCGGCGTGTCCCTGTGGGGACAGAGCGGGATGGCCACCCCCAGCCACCCTGGCTCGGCCTTGCTGCTGGCCTTGGCATTTGCTGGGGGTGGTGCCTTCCTGCTGTGCCAGTGGAGCAAATCCCAAATCTCCTGTGAACCCGAGCACCCCAAGGAGGGCACAGGAATGGTCCTTTGGAGMTGGGCATGGAGCGGGATGTGCTGCTGCTCTCGGCCCCGCTGGTGCATGGGGCTTTGGGGTTTGGGGGAGCTCAGGTGCTCCCTGCTCTGGGGACAGCCCTGATTGYCCAGGGCCACCTCCTGGCATGGTGCACAGCTCCCTGGGGATCAGCATCCCCATCCCATCCCATTCCTCCTCCCTCGACTGCTCATCCCTCCCATCCCACCTCCCGCCCGCAGCCCTGGGTGCTCCCCGGTGGCCCAGCCCGTGTAGGAGCCGCGCTATTCTAGGGTGACCGCATCCCCCTCCCCGCAGGCAGCCGGGCCAGCATCCAGACTGCCCTGAGGACGCTGCTAGCCGTGCCCTGGCCCTCGCAGCGCGATGTGCGCTCCGTGCTCCAGMTCCTGGCCGTGCTGCAGTGGGTGCTCAGCTTTCTGCTGCTGGGTGAGTGAGTAGGGGGCTGCGGGGGGCCCGAGGGGGCCGCACACCCGCTGACCCCCTGCCCGGCTCCCGCAGGAACTGTCAGCCTCCTGCTCCTCATCTACCTGCTCTTCACCAGCCTCTGGCTCATTCCCGTGCTCTACCTGGCCTGGATCATCTGTGACTGGGACACACCGGAGAAAGGTGAGGTGGCCGGGTCCCCACTTCCCCCAGCTGTGCAGCAAAATGGGGGGCGGGGTCCCCCTTTCTCCAGGTCCCTCCCAACAACACATCCCCCCTGCTCCTCCCTCCGCTCCCACATCATCAGCACCGCGGTGGGAAGAGGGATGCAGCAGGTCCGTGCGGAGATTTCCGTGGATCCTGCTGCCCTCCGGGGTGGGCTGGGCATCATCTCCCGTGGGCTTTGCAGGTGGCAGGAGGCTGCCGTGCCTGCGGCGATGGACCGTGTGGAAGCACTTTCGGGATTATTTCCCGGTGAAGGTACGGCGCCGGGACGGGCTGGAACCACCCAAAAAGAGGTGCCACCGTCAGGTCGCCGTGACCCGTTTTGTCCCCGCAGCTGGTGAAGACACACGACCTGTCCCCCAGCCACAACTACATCATCGGCTCCCACCCGCACGGCATCCTCTGCGTCGGCGCCTTCTGCAACTTCATCACGGGCTCCACGGGCTTCGAGGAGCTGTTCCCGGGCATCCGCTCCTTCCTCACCACGCTGGCCGGAAACTTTCGCCTGCCCGTGTTCCGGGAATACCTGATGAGTGGGGGTGAGCGGTGCCTGCCCTGCCCAGCCCTGCTGGGGCTGCCCCCAGCCCTTGCCCGCCCCGCTGCTGCCCGGCTGTGCCCGCAGTGCCCCGGGCAGAGGGGCCCTGATCCCTCTGAGGGAACACGGGAGCGATGCGCTGTCCCTCTGAGGAGTGACGGTGCTCCCTGGGGCACGCAGGGCAGGGATGGTGCCTTTCCTGCGCCCTGCTTCAGCTGCACCACACCTCGCACCCTGCCCGCACCTTTCCTGAACTCCACCTTCACCCTGCCCGCACCTTTCCTGAACTCCACCTTCACCCTGCCCGCACCTTCCCTGAACTCCACCTTCACCCTGCCCGCACCTTCCCTGAACTCCACCTTCACCCTGCCCGCACCTTCCCTGAACTCCACCTTCACCGTACCCGCACCTTGTCTCCACCCTGCCCGCACCCTGCCTGTCCCTTGTCCCCGCCCTGCCCTCGCCGCTGTCCCCCGCACCTTTCCCAGCCCTGCCCGCAGCAGAGGGAGCCCTTGCGCTGTCCTTGCCCCGGTCCCTCCAGGTGCCATCACTCGGGGTGTCCCTCGGGGATCCCTGTCGGGTCTCCGGGCACTGCAGTGTCACAKCCCCGGTGCTCCGTCCCGCCGCAGGGCTGTGCCCGGTGACCCGCCGCGCCATCGSGTACCTGCTGTCCCAGAAGGGCACCGGCAACGCGGTGGCCATCGTCATCGGCGGCGCGGCCGAGTCGCTGTCCTGCCGGCCCGGYGTCACCACGCTCATCCTCAAGAACCGCAAGGGCTTCGTCCGCATGGCCCTGCGGCACGGGTGGGTCACGGTTGGGTCACCAGCACGGCCACCCCCGGCGRTCCTGGGGGTCCCCAGCACCCCGTCACCACTCACCGTGTCCCCTCCGCAGGGCTTTCCTCGTCCCATCCTTCTCCTTTGGGGAGAACGACCTTTTCCGCCAGGTGGTGTTTGAGGAGGGCAGCTGGATGAGGAGCATCCAGCGGCGCTTCCAGAAGATGATGGGCTTCGCTCCCTGCCTGTTCTACGGCCGAGGCCTCACCTCCAGCCAGTCCCGCGGCTTCCTGCCCTACTCCAGACCCATCACCACCGTGGGTGAGCGGCGGGACCCAGGGTGGGGGTACAGGGGACACCCCACGGTGGGTGGTGATGAAAGGCACCTCCTGGGTTGTGTCCCCACCAAGCTGAGTGTGTCCCCACAATCCTGACCCCATCCCCTGCTGGCAGTGGGGGAGCCAGTGGCAGTGCCCGCGGTGGGGGTACAGGGGACACCCCACAGTGGATAGTGCTAGAAGGCACCTCCTGTGTTGTGTCCCCACCAAGCTGAGTGTGTCCCTACAATCCTTACCCCGTTCCCTGCCGGCAGTGGGGGAGCCAGTGGCAGTGCCCGCGGTGGGGGTACAGGGGACACCCCACAGTGGATGGTGCTAGAAGGCACCTCCCAGGTTGTGTCCCCACCATCCTGACCCCGTTTCCTGCCGGCAGTGGGGGAGCCGGTGG